CCCCAAAACCCCAAAACCCCAAAACCCCAAAACCCCAAAACCCCAAAACCCCATAAAATCGTAAATTTAAATACTCAAGAACTAGTCATAATTAAAACAAAATGGCAGATAAGTTAGCGAGGATCTTTGGTACAGAAGAAGATAAGGTCAATTGTCCCTTCTATTTTAAGATTGGAGCTTGTAGACATGGAGATGCTTGCACTAGATTACATAATAAACCCATACTTTCCCAGACTGTAATGTTTTTCCACCTGTATGATAACCCTCCTTCAGCAGTAGCGTTTTCGGATGGAATGGAAGTCCAGGAAAATGCTCTTGAAGAAGCTGTCAATCATTTTGAAGAATTCTATGAAGATGTGTTCCTTCAGTTCATCCAATATGGTGAAGTTGAAGAGATCCATGTTTGTGACAATATAGGAGACCATATCATTGGCAATACTTATGTGAAATTCCACTCAGAAGCAGAAGCCAAAATGTGCTTAGAAGATCTTAATGGAAAATATTACTCAGGAAGACTTATATATGGGGAATACTGCCCGGTCACTGACTTTAGAGAAGCCAAATGAAGACAGTTTAAAGAAGGCAATTGCGATAGAGGAGGTTATTGCAATTTTATGCATTTGAAATATGTGTCAAAGCCTTTCAGAAAAGCCATTTTTAAATATATGTACAAAGCTTATCCACAATATGTTGAGAGAAGAAAGAAGGAGGAAGAAGAAAAAGAGGCTGAAGTGGGTTATCCAAGCAGAGAAAATAGAGAACCAAGGCATGATCCTGTTCATGGTTTTAAAGAAGAAGCTGAACCTCCCCAAAGAGAACAAACAAGTGAAGAGAGAAGAGCTATGATTGCATCCTGGAATCAAGAAGGAGACGTATAAAAAGCCTTTATTGTAAAAGTTTCTAACCTTGTTTATTTTTTCACTCAGATTTGTATTTCCACCGATGTTATGCCTACTGGGGTTTTGGGGTTTTGGGGTTTTGGGGTTTTGGGGTTTTGGGG